TGATACTGCTTCCCACTTCATCCTAACAGATGCCTACTGGAGATTATGTGTGGGTCATCTACTGATACTCCTGACCGTGGGAAAATGGTTATCAACAGAGTCTTGGCCACAGCCTCTGCAGAGCATGATTCTGTAATCGTCACCGGGGACTTCAGTAGACCGATAATCCGCCTCCTGACAAAAGGGAGACTCACTTCCAGGTCACGTCACCCAGTCAGAAGCCGAAAGGTACATTTTAGAGAGCTGATTTTCGCAGGAAAGTGGGCGATGCCATACGCTGGTGGTTTAACACTGATGCATCACACCCTAACTGCATCCTGGCGGACGATGATATTAACTAGAACAACTGTGGACAGACGCATCCTGGCCACAGCGATCACCCAGTGATAAGCTTCCCCCACGAAAACCGGGGAGGATTTCCAACCTGAGGCACTGAAAATCATTCTTTGCTACACAAAGGTTGATGACGAGGCAACAACAGATCACCTCAACGAAACACCATAGCCTGAAGACCGGAGGCATCACACAACAGATCAGCGTAGGATAAATATAAAAGACATGATCCCCGGAGCTAACAAAATGGTGTACTAAAAGTATGCAAACATAAAAATCTCAAAAGCTATTGGGAGATCACACAACCCGAGATGAACAACAGGAAAAACTTGGGAGGGCGTCTTACCGCGACCGGTTCCCAGTTTATTTGGGGCTAAACTTCCCTGACAGGCTAGATACGGGGCCGACTACAAAGGAATGATGGCAAGAGTGAGCACCGCAATACACTTCCTAGAAAAGCGATTCACAGCCCTATCACATGAACTATTACTCATGGCATTTAAAGCTTACATTACACCGCACATAGGGGCGCGCAGCACGATAACCTTTCCCCTACCAAGGAGAGACCCAAAGACTGTGGGGGCGCAGAGAAGAGCTATATGGTGAGTTGTCAGACCAAAAGGTAAAAGATACGCAAGACGCCTAAGACGACCCGACTTATCCATCCTAGGCTGCGGAGGGGAGAGGCGACCCGATGACAGTCTGCACCAATTCAACAGGAAGACATTGTCCGTCCAGGACCGATCGTATCACCGGAACCTCACTCTTACACCTCACCAGAGGGCTGAGACCAGAGTCAGACTCAACTTCCCCTAAAGAGTGTGCACGTGATGAAAGGCTCTACAGAACGAAGTAGCCACGGCCGCCTCAGCCGACTCCTCCAAACGAATGCTAGATAGGCACGCGAGCACATACGGCTCACCACCAGCACACTCCGGTACCGATTGAATGCATACCTATCCATCCTCATGTTACCCGAACCTAGTATCTACACTACGGAATATAACCTCTCCATCTTCTTACTGGTAGCATTTTCTTCTCGTTAGCGATGTACACAACCTCTCGCTTATTCTGTAATCACCAAACATTTTGCACTACTTTTTCAACACCACTTACTGGACAATTACCTGTGCCCAAGAAGACAAGATTTACAAATGGTCAGCCGATCCTATTGGCAGCTTCTTTACTCCTTTCGACCATCCGAGATGAAAATCTTTCTGGCGGAAAATCAGCTGAAATCCAGTCAACACCCAACCACCCATCGGGCTAGGCACAGCTGCAGTAGGCGAGTTGGTAGGCCTACTGCATCGGAATCTACCAAAGGTCTGGGACCGTCCAGCGTGACCTAAAAGCGAGCGCTAAGAAATCGATTGGTTTCCACTAGCTCGTTAAAGGATATTGAGTATTGAAAAAGACTTCTTTAGCCACCGGAGGACTATAACCGAATGCTCTTCTACCCTTAAGACACGAATGCAGGAATTAAAAACTACAAATTCCGTCTGTTCGCACCACTGATGTTGGATACTGTTAGAGTGGCCATAGGATAATGGAGAGAGTCATAAATGGCTCATTTCATCATCACTTACCCAGAAACCAATCTTAAATGACTGTCAATATGGCTTTTTTACCTGGAAGACCATGTAACAACAACTTGCTGATAGCTTGGAATAGCTGAACTCTCTCTGTTGAGCAGAAAAAGCCAATTCACATTGATTTGCTCAATTTTTCTAAGGCCTTTGACGGGCAAATCATGGTATCCTATGTAAGAAACTTCAGCCTATGGGTGTGCACGGAAAACTACCGACTTGGCCCAGAGGTTATCCTTACAGCTGGTTGCAGTCAGTCTGAGCCGGCTCCTCTCTATCAAACTGCTTCCCGATGCTGGGTGGCGTGCCTCAAGGTTCTCTTCCAAGCCCACTGCTGTTTCTTGCTGGTATCAGTAACCTACCAGGAGTCCTTAATTCTCATTCACTATTATAAACCAATGATCTGAAGATTTGGAGGGAAATGCAGGTCGCGACGGATATTTCGATCTTTCAGGGGGACCTTACGAAAATCCTTAACTGGATCACAGAAAACCCGCTTCCTCACAACTCGAAGAAATGTCGGATGATGATAGTTGACGAATATAAAAGCAGTCCCCCGGGCGAAATAAATATTTATCACTCTAATATGTAACAAGATCAAGGAGTCACACCAAGTGACACACCAGGAGCCTCAATCCACTGTCACCCTGTAGCCGACAGGTCCTATGGAGTCTTGGGGTTTCGCTCGCGAACTTTAGGGGGTCTAACTCCTCCTTTCACCACAATGTATGTTCTGCACATCCACCCTCATCTACAGAAAAATTCGCTTGTGATGTCCTCAAACTCGAAGAAAGATATACCCACCCTAGAACGGGTACAGAGAAGAGCTACAAAGAAAGCGATTGCTTTACGGCACGAACCATGCCCAAACCGCTTGATTGCTCTTAAGCTGCATCCAGCGTAATACCAGAAAATCACAGGGGATATGATCATGATGTACCATATCGCCCATAATCCTCTCCATCCCAAGTGATCCGTTCGAAACTTTACTAGGGAAAGCGACCTGTGGGGTCACCTATGCTGACTCATTTGTGGTTAAGGTCTTTAAACTGTGGAACCCCCTTCCTCCAGTAGTTGTCACAGCCCCACCGCCTGATACTTTTAAAAGGAGGTTAGATGCGCACCTTAAGTCCTACGGTATCGATGGGCTGTACTTGAGAAGCTTTCCGTCGTCTGCAGATCAGGTACAGTAATACTACCTTGAGATCAGATTAATTAATAATCATTCATCTCTATCCATTCAGGTTTTTCGGGACCGGGAAGATGATTGTGACCATTTCGAACCCAGAACGTATTCCAATAAGACAGAGGTAGAACCCAAGGAACCACCGTTCACCAATTCTACAACACGAAATCCAAAGTTTGAATAACCTTTACCGTGCCTCAAACATTCTAGCGGCAAGTGGTAAGCGGACGGTATGCTGGGACCTACGAATACCTGTCCATGTTATTTTCTTGGATTTTGCTAGGGCGTTTGACACGGTCCCACATATCATTCTTATTCACAAAGTATCAAGGTTGGGCATCAAAGGACAAGTGTTTACCTGGTTACAGGACTATTTAGACGACGGACACCTCTTCACAAAACCCAACAGGGTTTGCTGGACCTGGAGGACATCATCATCTGGTTTATCTCAAGGAGAGATTCCGGGTCCGCTCCTATTCCTTCTTTTTGTGAATGACCTCCCATTGAATCTCAGCTCTACGGTTCTACTCTACGCCGATGATGTTAAGTTATGGAGAACTGTGACGTCGGAAACAGAATCAAGTGTACTGCAAAGTGACCTCAGGTTACTTGCAGAGTGGGTGGACATTAATGGACTAGCATTTAACCTGGACAGGTGACGAATTTTGTCTCTCCGCACCTCAGACTCTTAGAAGGTGCCCTATTCTCTCTATGGAACAAAACTTCCCCACACCGCCACGGAGAAAAACCTAGGACTAATACTGACTGACAGACTAGATACCAGTTCTAATTATCCAGGAGACGCCTCCAGAGCCTGCTCAGTGCTGCACTTCATGTGCAGACAACTAGGTGCCCTGACACCGGAACGACCTCACTTAGAGATTCACAACGTCACTGCACCACCGAATCTGAAAATAGGAGTGAATCTCCTCCTATAAAGGGCTTTGTGGGAATGAGCGAAAATCATATCAGGACGGGCTGAAAGATCTAAGACTCTACTCTCCGAGCCAATGTAGGTTACGTGGTGACTTGATAGCGGCTTACAGAATACTTAGCAATCCAAATCATCCGAACAGTGGAATCCTACCGAACGGCCACCATGGTGATCTTCGTGGTAGCCCAAGAACAATCACCCATCAAACGGTGAAAACCCGTGTGCATTCACAATTCTTCTCTCTGCAAGTTTGCGGCCACTGGAACGTATTCCCTGCATGGATTGCCTCTGCTCCGTCTGTTGACAGTTTCGGAAAGAGGGTGGACAGTTACGCAGCGATGCACGGTTTTCGATCATGCAACCAGAATATGGACTAGGGTGACACGACTTACTTACCACGGCCAACCCAATATCGAATACTTTGTAATGCCACTATCACTGGGAGCCTGGCTCCCTATAGACGTCCCCTCTAGTTACCGTCTCCTACTAACGGAATTACCATCTCTATTCCCATCCATCCTATAACGTTATTTACTCCCCTTCCTACTGACTGTACGTTTCCTCTTTCCTAATCGTCTTTTCCCATTCTTTTTCTTTGGACTTTCTCTCCTTTGATCTCTCAGGACATATTTTTCGTCCCCTTATTACAACCAGTCCGACCAATTTTCTGCTGGTACGACACTTGGGGAGCCCATCTGCACCGCAGTCCTTAGGAAAAAAATAAATAAACAACAACACTCCCTGCAAATTTAACCAACACCTAACCGCCCGTCGGGCTAACCAGAGCTACAGCAGTGTAGTGGGTAGACCCACTGCGTCGGAATCTACCAAAGACCTGGAACCGTTTCCTAAGACCTAGAAGCGAGCACGAAGAAATCAATTAGTCTACACTAGCTCGTAAAATGATCTTGAATATTGAAGAGCGCAGCAGTGAAACTGGCCGCAACTTCAATGAACTTCAATGAGCGGTCCAACTGATGATGTTATCCAGTCAACGAATGACGATGCTACATCCAGTAAAGCTTATGCAGTGTCCCGTGGATATTGGAAAGACAAATACATCAAATATTTTTGCGCATCTCCCACTCATAAGACTCCTGAGATAAATCGTGGGTACTTCGTAAGAACAACTGCATTCAGAGCAATAGCTGAATCTTTTGTTAAGGTTCCTTACTGTTGACTACTACACTTTACCTACTTCAGTCCACAGGTGGAGTCTGTCAAATTGTCAATCTTGGTGCAGGTTCAGATACCCTCTACTTTTTGTTGAAAAGTTCACAATGGACCCCTAAACTTTACGTCGAGATTGACATGAAAGCTAACGTTCAGTACAAAGCTGTGGTAATCGAACGAAGAAAACTGCTGGAAACTGCCGGTAATTTTACCATTGTTTATTTACGTGTGTGAATATTTACTTGTTAAGACTCGAGAAACAAACCAACAGTCTTAAATCACTATCATAGCGTCGAGGTATCAACACTTACATCTTCAGAAGAAAATAAGTGATAGGAATCGTACCAATTTTTGCCTTGGGGAAATCCAGTCATGACCAAACTCAAGTCATCAAAAATTCTGATATGCTACACATATACAGCTCTTAAGATATATCGTTAAGGGGCTGAAAGGTCTGAATTTGCAGTTAAGTTAGGTGAGAGTGAGATTGTCGTTGATGTTTTGACATCTAAACCCAGTTGATTCTGAAGAGATGTGCATGATTGACCGTCTTTAAATTGAATGTGGTCGTTCTTTGTATGGAAGGTTCTGCCCTAAGCTTTAGCGAACTCTTCACCTTTCACTCGGTAGACGTCCCTGTATCTGTATAATCTTTAGTGAAGTTTCTAATTGCTTTCCAGTAAAAAACCTGTATCTTAGCGTCTTGCTGACGTCTAGTTCGTGTAATCTGAGTTAAGCTTGAATATGGAAAGGCCGATACAGCTCACCCTTTCTTTGAACCGTCATCACCCTTCACGTCACTAGTACAAGTGGTGTCAAGCCCAATAAAACATACTTAGGAGAAAGCTGTTTTGATCCAACCATTGAGTTTTCTAGTGACTCAACCTTCCTAGTTCTTTCTGTGGCTTCCAAAGATAAACTTACCTGTGTGATTGCGACTTATACCGGTTTATATTACCATGAGCTATGGTGAACTCTATGCTGATATGTTTAATTTATGTTGTCTTGACTAACTTATGCCTAACTGACAAGTAATTAATAAGCGTTTCCAAAGCTGTAGTAGAAACTTTAGTCCTTGTGCATTCACCTTTCAGTGACATCTTATAGTATATAATACTTTTGCTGCACGATACTTATTCCTTTTATCGTGACCAGGCATACTTAATCGGCACCATAGGTTAGTGATTAATACTTGTACTGAAAACTCATTGACACGGTTGTAACGGTTGGATCGTTTCTCGATATACTTCGGGAAACAGTTCAACTGGCCTCTAGCTAATTTTTGGTTGCCTGCTATCCAGTTGGATCCTGAAGGATATCCACTCCATTTCTATCTAGTTTTATCGTGGGTTTGATCACGGCAGTCGCCGTCCTTGTCTGACTTTAGTGGGGTTGACATTTTCACAGGAGATTCATTAGTATTACCAGTGTATGCATATGACATAGTCGTGTTAGGTGGTGGTGACAAAATACAGTTGTGTATACGGTGAGTGGTAATTTGAGAGTGTTTCGGGATGTTTCTCACCACTCAAATGCAAATTGTTGATCCAGGATTGATCAGCGTGGATGCCTTTTCCAAAAATATAGAGTGAAGCGGTTGAGCGGGTTAACCAATCCGCTTACTTGGGAGGTCGGATTGGATACTCATGAAATCTCTGTACAGATCCAAAAGGCTGGATTAAATTTCGCCAAATTAAGCCATCTATGGTGCCGTCGTCACATTCCATTACCCATTAAGGTTCGAGTGTACTGCATGCAGTTCTCTCTACCACTATGTGGTCAATAAAGGTGATGATGGAAAGGATCCAGGTTTTTGGTCACCGTTGTCTTCGTAACATGGACCCTGTGTCTTAAGGCCATCACATCATTGACGCGAAAGTCAGGTGTAGGATTTTAGATGGAAATGAAACGTAAGTTGGTTAGATTGTCAATCCTCATTGACTTAGATAACCGGCGCATGTGTTATGCACGCCTAGTCATAGCTTGTTCGGTTGCACAATGTTAGGTCAAGTAGGGTAAGACTGAACAAATATTATGGGTGACCAGACTAAAACATGGTATCAGTTCATGAAGTCTTTGACCGTTGGTATGAGCCATGTGGGGAAATGTAAACTTCCCGACTGGGGTCTGTGACAACTGAAATCGATGGATAAACACTTGGAGATATAACTGTAATCGCTCTCAGTAGTGCGAATTCATTCATACATTATCTTCATATCGGATTTCACTATCATTCCATCACTTCTTTAGCTTTACAACTTTTAATTTCTATCTTCCCCATTTCTACCATCTCAATACCTCTACCTTGATCTGCTGTTGTTAGGTATGACAGCCTGCACCGTGACACAATAATACCTAGTCCTACTTTGATGTTGGCTACAATATCAAGCTCATCCTTGCAACAGATATTTGTAGTTGATCTAATTGGACACAACAAAGTACACAACGCCGATATGTTTATTCACTCATTCGAAACGAGTCTGGAAAAGAATAGTCTTGCTTTCTAACACAAACAGTCGACTGTTCTGTGTTGCACTGCGATATTTTGCACCTGTTTTGTCATCCTTCAGACAGAGTCGGGAATTTTGACGATGGTGCATTTTTTCTGTTTATATTATTTTTGTAAAGCAGTTTTACTTTGCTGTACCATTTCTAATGTCTATAGACTCTAATCACATGCTCTAAATATAGGGTTTATGGGTTACATTAGTCATTCTATACCTTGTTCTAAGTCTGCCGACTTGGATTCGAGGTTCGCCCACCTGAAACACTTCTTGGTCAATCATATCTCATTCCAAAAGGCAAAGCTTGAGTACACAAGTCCTAATTTCAACCGGAAGAAGTGACCGAGTAAGTACAGTAGACGGTCAAGAAACTTTGTGATTTTATAAAACAGAGTGATCAATACCTATTCTTTTACGATCAGCAAGCTGTCGATCAACTACTAAGTAGTGTGTACCACATCATAACCTACATCATAAGCGATGAGACATATAGGTCTGTTGGGAGACAAGCGTAGACAACCGTTTTTCTATCAGCCTTAGGTATGTTGACTTTTTCGAACATCTAACAGGTATTAGCGTTTGAACATACCAACACTGCCTATCGTATACATATAGAAGATGTTAAAAAAGGTGGGAAATGTTGTTGTCGAGTAGCTGTGTTAGAGAGAAAGACTGACTTACTAACAGGACAATTGACAGTTTTACAGTTGTACAGATGGCCACAGAAGTTCTCCAGCAAGTAGATCTCAGTCATTATAAAACTACGAGTAGGACTACTTCGAGAAATAATATGTGTTGATGCTGTCGGAGATTTGGTGATAAAGCACATCATTTTTCTCATTCAGAAACAGAGACGAAGGCAGTTAGTCAAACATTTGTTTTTCTCACGTGACGGACATACATATATTGTTATGTAGGACCAGTATCTTTGCTAGTTCGTCCTTTCCTTCACCGATTCCCACCATAATTCATTGGTGTTTTGTGGTTGTGGTTGTCATATCTTGTCTTTGCCTCATCTAATCATCATAATGCCTATCTCCTCAATAATCATTATGCCCAACCAAACTGTCCCAATGTTCATCTTGTTATGACGGCCTTTGGCATTGTTACAATACAACAAAGCTTTCTTCAGATCGGCTGACATTTCAGTTTTCATGCTGAAACTACTATTGAAGCACCCATTAATTAAGTTGCGATCATTGTTACACTATGCCCTGAACTTCTGAAATATTGTTCACACAACCGTCAAAGCGATTTAGTTATACTAAGAAAAAGAACAATAGCAAACATGAGGGTAGTCCGATAAAATAACTTTGTTCCCTTTGTTTAGAAGCATGAGGATCACTTCAAAGGTCTGTTTTCGGTCGTCGATGATTTTCTTTCTTTAATTACTGCTTATGGTACTCGGTCCTCTTGTACCCAGTGTTATATCTGGTGGATGTTTGGAAAAAAAGTTCGTGTCTATTACATTTACTATCATTTTGTTTTGCATGAGTGTCAAGGTATCGTTAGTGTCCTAATTTTATGTATTACACTACATTTCCTAATTTACGTGTGATATTCCAAACTAGAGAATATTATATTTCAAATTAATTTAGAGGCAAAAGCAAGCACTCAAACAAGCGTGACAGTCAATACTTCACAGCACCGCTTTCACTACGTTTTCGACGGAGGACAGTTCCATTTACTCGGCTTTGACTTACGAAGGCCAGTTCAAGAGCTTATAGATCTACTATGTTCTCCAGTTCACGGAATTAATTGCTCTCAATCCTGCCCAACTCTCTTCCTAGCTGAATGCGTACTTGTTTATATGCCTCCGGATACCAGCTATCAGTTAATAAAGAGTTTGTCAGAAAGCTTTCCTTGCGCTTCATTTTGCACTATGAACAGGCAGGTACAGTTTTTACTTGGTTTTACCTAACGCCGTTATTGGTTTGGTGTTGATGCGTATATAACTGTTTTCTTAGACTAGTCCAAAAAAACCATAACGTGACTATGTTTTTTTATTTAAAGCACTTCTTTTCTGAAACGATTTAACTTGTTACATCTGCAGAACTACTAACAGATATGAAGAAAGCTAATGCCTGTAAAATTATCAGTTCACCTATGATAAGGATCAGTGGTAAATAATCACTTATTCATTATTCTATGTGTCACATCTAGTGCATAGCAACTACTTATACAACTAGGCTGTCCAAACTGAAATGAAATAGATTTAAGACCATAACCAGGTAGTTGTAAATCGATTACCAAGATCACAGCTATAGTTCCATACACTTGCATAGTTCTTTTGAAGTCAGATCTGATGGTTGATTAACGGAAACCTCAGTGGAGTGAAATTTATCACTTCAGCTTAGTAAAACGACTTGAACTGAGAAATCCCCTCAGTAAATTCATCATTATGACTGTATACGGATATACAGCTTAAAATTGAACCTGCATTACTAATCTGGTATCAACTAGAAAAGTTAAATTGTCAAATAATGACAGCAGTAACTGTGAAATTTGTCCACAGTTTAGATAACAGCTAACGCGTAAATTGAAATACTTTGTCTTGAGGGCATTAGTTATTTGAAAATAAGAAGGTATAAGAAGATGCAGTCCAAGGAGTTAACTAGACAAACAGATCACCGTAGATCCTTACGATAAGCATAGAAGCTCGTGTTGCCACACTTCACAACGTCTTACAAAGAGGAACCAAGCAGGAAAAGAATGATAAGGAAGTTGGCTATAGTCCATGAGAGAAGAGAAAATCAATCAATCAAGGCTAGTAAAATGTTCGAAATTCTCAAGATAATGAAGAATGTATGCATCTGCACCATGGTAACACTGATTCATATCACCAAGAACCGCTAACCATTAATCTTTGTCATCTCAAAGACTCACTTAGGTGACTCAACCTTTTCTACACAACTCAGATCAAACACGAGAGACTTCATGGGTATGTGCTGGGTTACTTTGGCCTCCCTTGCCTTTTTCCCAACCTACAGATGAAACCGTACCTTGAGGTTAGCGGTTGCCCGGTATGCGTAATACACATCTAAGCTACTTCAGTCCATGAGGGTTTGCAGTACTGTTAGCTGACTTATTTACGTAATACTACTCTCAACATCAACACTCCTCACTGATTCACCTCATGTCAGTAATGTTACGATGATATCTATGATCAAATACTTGTCACCCTCCTTAGGTCTTCTGTTCTCAACGTCCATATCTCAGTCGTACACTAAGAAAGAACTGGTTGTTGTGCGATGCACTCGTTGCTTGACAGGTAGTCGGACGTGGCTCATTGACTTCAAAATCCAACTTTCAAGCAGTCGGTTTCAGGTTCCATTTCTACCTCCCCTACACCGGGCTTGGCAACCGCGTCGTATCACAGGCCTTCACACTCAAAGTATGATTCATTCTATCTCATAAACCTTTTTTACGTCGTTCTCTTTATTCCCACTATTACTATAGCCGAATATCTGACCGATATCAAAAGTTGTGTAACTTTGCAAACGCTAAATAGCCTTTTTTCGAGTCGAAACTTCATCAGCAACAAATCAATATGGACTGGCGTCACTTCCTAAGCAAGTGAGTTGGTTAGTGCATCCTACCACTTTACCTTCTATGCTTAAACTGGAAGAAGGTATAGACCAATTGTGATGCATTGTTATACATTTGACAAGTACGAAATCCATTTAGTGAGATTCTTCACCTTAACGGACTATCAGTTTACTCTAAAATCAGCTGGGTGCCTTCCAGGGAGTAGATTGATCTTTGGGACGATGGAGGTGCATGTCTCATCCACCAGCACATTCACAACAGAGTAGATTAAAGATATATCGATCCGGATACGTGATTTCGACCGGTAGATCGCGGGTTAGAACCTTGTTCCACCTATCGAGGTCTGAGTGACCAGGCTGTTTCATTAGTGCTCACACAATATATGTTGCTTATTGCCTACTGCACGAACGTGCATATGGTTGCTGTCTGCATTTCAACCCGTTTCGAGAGTGAGAACGGTGACAGTAGGATATACTGGGTAAAAACCATTGGTTGTGGTCACTCCAGAAGGCATTTACGTAACCATTAACCAAAAACAGACGAGAAATCACATCAATATAAACCATCCTTGGAAAGGATTGCTACTTTTTTGAATACCGGGTTGAATTGCAAACATGTGTTTGCACCTTAATGCATCCACGAGGCAAGCAGCTACAAGCCCATTCTTTGCTCACCTAGAAAATGAGAATATCAACGACGTGAAGTGGTGAAAGTCAGAGCAAGTTGCTATTTACTTGGTAAGTCGCGTACTAATAACAACTTACCGCCCTAGATAATCATTCGCCCTTTTTATTACTATCATCATTACACTATTTACCAAGTAAGTAGAAACCTGCCCTTACTTTCATAATGTTATGTACAATTATTCTGTTTTCTTAATTTCTACCCCGATTTTCGTGAGCGATTATTGGCTTCTCGGTACTGTAAAATGATCATTTTTTGGTCAATAGACTATCACCACACTGAATTTTATAAATCATATTGATAAAAGAAACTTTTGTGTTAGCGTAGCACCAGCGACCAGGAGCTAGTTATGAAGACTCATTTATTCACTTTTTTGGCTTTCTAAATGTTTCATTGGGAATTTTTCCTCCACTAAAGCATTTCGACGTGACTACTTTTGACCTTTATTTGCTACTTAGAACTGCAGTTATTATAAACTATATTTGCTCATCATTGTACTGAAAAACTTTTGTTGGCCAACCCTTTAGGTCCTGCTCCTTTGCCTCGCTTCATCCTTAAAACACCACTTCCAACTTTGCAGAGGGTTAGGTGACCGTCATTGATATCTGATTCAGGTTAAGAATGGACGATAAACAACCAAAGCCTGGTTGTAGGCCAGTTAACTTATTCTTCACAGTGCTGCACGTAACGTTCCAGCCACCTAACCTTAGACGTTATCTGGGTCTAGTTCTCAATTGTGATCTCACTGACCGCTTTTTTTTCGTACCTATCTCTTCAAAATAATTTTCAGTCACTGCCAAACATCAGCATTTCTTATTTATTTCTTTAAATGCACACCACTACTCTTTGTCATCATAAAGATTCATAGTCAGCTTATATTTAAGCTATTTTCGGTCCTTTTCATGATCAGAACCAATCAGAATAAATCTCGCATCAGTCGTTTCGAGCGAGGCTGCCAAGACTGATTGGTTTTTACTAACCGGTTATTCATTAATAACCATCTTCACCACTTTCTGCAAAGGTAAATATGACACAAGACTTCAGAGTATCATTGCTGCTACATCCAAATATATGTATATTTGCTTTCTTTCTCATTACAGACTTGATCTGATCTTCCAGCCGAGCACAGAACGGCTTCATTACCACCAGGCTTTTTCTCGAGGCAGCAAGTGAAATACATAAATTCAAATCCTGGGTTTTTGTTAATGTTGTTAGAATCAACTAGCTGTTCGTAGTGTTTAAGAAAATCAGTGCCAATGATAGGAAACGACATATCAACAATGATAATTACCACTGGATGATGTGCGAAAACCGAAGTTCAGAGTCACAGCTCTGATCCCACACATATTGCTTGCCGATCTATTTGTTGCTTGGTGCACCAAGGCTGAGTTCAGATGATGCTTGTCAGGAGGTCTGGGTGGGATTAAGCTTACCTCATCATCATTATCAACCATAAACTACATCCCTATCTTCTTATTTGTCACATGAAACAAACGAATGTTTTTGTGTACGCCGACGAAAACAGTCGTTACTGATTGCCTCCGTCTCTTTCTGAATAAGAAAAATGATGTGCTTTATCACCAAATCTCCGACAGCATCAACACATATTATTTCTCGAAGTAGTCCTACTCGTAGTTTTATAATGACTGAGATCTACTTGCTGGAGAACTTCTGTGGCCATCTGTACAACTGTAAAACTGTCAATTGTCCTGTTAGTAAGTCAGTCTTTCTCTCTAACACAGCTACTCGACAACAACATTTCCCACCTTTTTTAACATCTTCTATATGTATACGATAGGCAGTGTTGGTATGTTCAAACGCTAATACCTGTTAGATGTTCGAAAAAGTCAACATACCCAAGGCTGATGTAAAAACGGTGTGTCAGAACAAAACGTAGAAAAAACCGCCTACATTATTCTAAGCAAACCAAATCTTCATGCAAAGGAGATATTCATGAAGCTATCTTTATTCTAAATGTCATCATACACCCTTTTTCTGTTAATCAATAGTTTTAACTCGCCTTCAAATTGTTGTGTTTGTTTTTTTTCTTATTCCTCCATGAAGAATGTTAACTTAAGACGGTTCAGTCTATCAGCTCCAATACGAATTATCGACAAGTTTCAGCCTAATTCGATCAAGTTTTAATCTCCGTATAGTTACTTCATTCATTGTTTGACATCTTAGTTTCTTTAGTGATTTCTATACTCATATGGAGAACTTGCTCGGAAAATAGTTAAGTACATACTTGAACATCTTGAAGACTATAAGAACTAAACTCATCCACTTACTATATACATTTTATTTTATCACCTTTTTGAAAGCTGTTTATGAGCTTTAACGTATTTTCTTGCAAATATTAATAGAATTTACTAAAGCAAACCATACGTACTAAGGCTTTAGCATGCATTGCAGGGATGAATCGAAGTAGCTTGTTTCTTTTGCATGTCCGATGTGATTTTATATGATCTTTAATTGTTCGGTTTTTGAGTTCTAACTAGAGTTTTGTGTTTTGATATGTTTCTTTAAAATCGTTTCTTACTGTAATTTTTTTTTCAGTAGTAATCACATTGACAAGATTTTTTCATCATTTGTTACATAGGTTAATATGAGCGATCAGTTTGGCTCCATAATGATCAAGAATTTTCGTGCTCGTTCCTGTGAACTCCCGGGTCTTGAAGCATGTAATTCACTGAGTACTCAGGAAGAACGGTAAGCTTTTTTTATATTCTGGATTTTATATATAAACCTAAAGGAAATATGTAAACAGACGTGTAGAGTCGATTCTACCAAAGCTGCTATCCCTGTTGTGAAGTTATTAAGTGCTATTGATATAAGGATAGGATGAAAGCTCTGATAGAACATAATTCCACTTTATATTTCTTTTATTATCTATGTCACATAGTGATGATCGGAATGATAACTTCTGAAGTCATAGTTTGAGATAATCTAAGTGAAAACTTTAAATCAGCAATAGTCAGGCTTCAGCTAAAGTGATATACTGAATCTTGGAAAAGTAGTACAAAAATATTGAGATTTTATACCCTATGCTAATATATAAGAAGTACAACCAAAATAATGGCAATAATAACATTGTATGGAGAAAAACCTTGAAAGGATTGCTAATAAAAAACCTAAAACGGCTAGTAATAGAAAAATAATCTACAAAAATATGCAATCAATAATTGAGAGTTCAGTCTACTGAAAATCAAACTAACCAAATGCCTAGAATATATTCATGTACAAATCAAACAAAGAGATAAAGTTAATCAGTCAGAAAAAACTCAAATACAAAAGGCTATGAATGCAGAAGTAAACTTAACTCACAAACAACGACAGCGAAAATGTTAACATAATGTAAGAAGAAGACATTAGAAAAAATCTTGGCTCACTTCCTACTAAGATAAAACATTTAAGAATAATGTACAGCCAGCTTGGAAAAAGTAGTTAACAAATGTGGGGATTCAAGTGAAACTATGATCAGAGCTTCAGCAAAAACGTTGAGAAGTGATGTGAGAAGATCACACCTGTTAAAAAGGATAGAAACACGCTAACTGGATCTTATCCATTTAATCAAACTCTTAGTTTGTAGTCAAGGTTAATAGTACCATCCCTGCGGATTGTTGGTTGCTGCATGAGTGTTGGGTGTTAGGGTAATCATGGCAACTGAACTTATGGTGTCGAATATTTTGTTCGTGTTAACCTTTAGACCTCACCAACTTAGTGCATTAGAACTTCACTGCCTGCCCACTCACATTATATTAACAATTTCCGTGATCTTGTTTGCAGGTCATTTTTACTCCTGTATTTCTACCCTCATTTGTTGAGCTATTATGGGCAAAAGTTTCGGAGATTCTCGCTGTTCCTACTGTACATAAAATAAAGTAGAAATTGCTAATACTGAGAGTTGTTAAAGGGAGCATTTAAAAATTCCTCACTGGCTGGGAATATACAGTCATGGATAGTCATCAGAAGTTAACAGAAAGAATCCCTAATGATGTTATTCGAAAGATCCAGAAACATGAACAGTGGGACCCAAGAGGGAATTCAAATGATGATTCTTGGATGGGTACAGTAGTTCTACCATTCCGCCAAGGTACAACCGAAGAGCTACAAAGAATCTTAAGGAAGCACCGAATTAGGACCTTTTACAAGACAACCAACACTCAGAAATGCTCTAGTCCACGTAAAAGATTAAGTTCCTTTTACCTCCTCACAAAATTGTGTCTACAAATTAGGCTATGCGAACTGTGATGCCTATTATATTGGAGAATCGTCCCTCGAGATCCTTATTAGGGCTAAAGAACATGCAAGCTACACAAAACGACCGCCAAATAATCCTGTAAAACTAGAGAACTTACAAATCAAGTCGGCGATCGCAGTTCACGCTATCTATCACAATCATGAAATCGATATTGAAAATATTAAAACTATTGAAAAGGGATTTTTAAACTAAAAAGAATAGCAGAGACGTTTCACATTAAGTTGAATCCCTTATGCACTCAACAGAAAGGAAGGCCTAACTATCCAACAACATATCACACAATGATCTGATCTAAAGTACATACACACAAACAAACCGAATTTGTCATCCATATTATTTATTTATTTTTCTTACACTTTCACATCCTGTCACATGTGCACATATTCATATCACCTTGACCTCCAGATTAATTAACTGATAAACAAAGACAAATTGTGAATGCATCCTGACCAGCATAGCCATGACACGTTCATATTATCATCGTGATCTGATTCGTCACCTTTTACTATTTAAACTATCGATAACTTGTACAGGTTTTATTCTCTGAGGAAGCAATTTCCACGAAGTCGCGAAACGTCATAAATTTATTTTTCTACTTCATTGGGATTTTACAAAATGTATTTCATTTATTAGCAGAAAGAGTTGTAAAAAATTGAAATGGGCATTACGGTTTAGAAGTTTTTTTCTATGGAGCTAAGAATTAGTTCTGAAGGTTTATTAATTGAGAATCACGACCTACCTCGTAGATTTTTGCTGCTTCATGACCTAACGAAGACTTTCAATTCACTTTCAATTAAATTTTAAGGTCCAGGGATTTAGTGTTGTGGTTCGTTATTAGAGTAGATATCTTAGTGGCAAACAACATCAGTTATAGTATTCATCATGGACTGACATCAGTTGGGGAACCATTGAAATTAAAAATCCCCATTCATCTCAAAAATACATTACTCTATAGTACTCATTAGTGACTTGCTTCCAGATGGATGTTAGGAAGTTCTAATGAGAAGCCGTGATCTGTGGGGTCAACCAGTCGGAAGCGAAGTGGATGCTAACTGAAGACCTTGGGTGACGGTCGCGCTATGTCGTGAATTGACAGAAGTTGGAAATTGTGAACCACTGGGAACCGACCCAGTGGCTGAATGGTTAACGTGTTCGCCGTGAAGCCCGAAGGTCCTGAGTTCGATCCCTAGCCGGGTCATGGTTGCGTACTGCTGAGGAGTCCCATACTAGGACGAAACAGCTGTCTGGTGCTCTCAGATTTTCAATGGTTCCCCAACTGATGTCATTCCATGATGAATACTACTTCTAAATTAAAAATCCCCATTCATCTCCAAAAAACATCAGTTGTGTTTTTCAATCCTAACTTTTTTGACCTAAGGCAATAAAAGTACGTGGAAAACAGTACAGATATGACAAGGAATGCAAAATAATCATACAGCACGTAATTTCTTATCTTAAGGAATGTATACTTCAGTAATACAAGCTAAGTACTTACTAGTATGATGAACAGTTCCAGGTCATTCCTAAACGAAATGATTTTTCCAGCGCACCAGTTGATGTTGAATTTCAGACACACATTGTGAAAAGTTATCAGTGTTACTGTCATCCTCAAACCTATCAGAGTATGGTAATGTTCTAACCGACAACTCGATACATGAAAGTCGAATGCTTAAACCACTTGGCCACAATCGTCTAGACAATTTAGTTACACATGTTATGGTCATACTCCGAGTTACCATTTCAAACGGATATTGTGTAAATAGATCAGTCAAAAACATGTATCAAGTGTACGTCATATCCAAACTTTGAACAATAAATCCCTTTGTATACTAAAAATGAAAAATTGATTCGTTTATTTTCTGTTTTCTTTTGATACATAGATTTCTTAATGCTGGATGGAAAAAAGCGAAAGGCTGGACTATAAATCAGGTCTATAAAGCATTATCCGCTAGTACACGGTACAGGTAACTAAAAGTGTTGAATCACTTTTAACCAGGAGACAAACACAGTTGCTAAAGTTAGCTAAATTGACTTTTAGTGTCACTTATGGTTAATTTTCAATTCATTCATTTCGATCGTTTTCAACTGCTTCAACAAATATCATCTGTATAAAAACAAAAATAACTTTTATAAAGAATTTGTCAGTCGTTTATTGCACTTCATGAATAAGTATGTTGCCTTTAGTTCAACGCGTTGTGGAAGAGTAAGTTCATATGAGATCAGCGGGTTTAACACTGAAAGTTAGTATATGACAAAGTAGTTCTCACATGATTTTATTATTCTCAGTACTCCATCATACACTAACAGTAATGGCTTCACTAAATGTAGTATGTGATTACTGCTACGAAGATATGAAAATGTAAGTCTTTAAGATTTGAATCTCTTAACCGTACTCCTTTTATCTCTTGTTTTGTCCTATGACCTTTCGCAACAGTCGACCTTATTACCTCACGTTTTCATTCCTTCTCTCTGCTTAACTCCCTTTCTCCGTGTCTCTCTCCTTTAGCATCCTTCTCAGTGTCGAATATGGTGTGATAACTTGAACCGAGATGCAGCCATACCAGGTCATATGTTGTTTATTTCCTTTGTTTTCGCTTAGCCATCTTAACTCATATGTTTACGGTGATTTTCCATCTGAAGGTACTTTAAGTGGAGTGAGTGAGTGAGTGGAGTGAGCTACAAATTTCTATTGCATAGTAAAACTATCATCGATGCACTTTAATTCCTTCACGAATCATACTATAAAAATCATTCTGATAATTTTCCAAAGCATATTTTGAAAAGCACAAATATTTTAGACACGGTCTAATTGAAATTTGAACAGCGTAATGAGAAGACGAAGATTATCTGAAACAGGTGATGAATATTTCAGCGCTATATATTTCGAACAACATGATCACACCGATTTGTCAAACTGTTAATGTGAAAATCTGCGAAAAGGGTCAATGAAGTCAATAGGAAGCAAAGATAGGAGGGGTAGAACATAAACATATTCAACTATCCTTAACTGCATATCACGATTACTCCTCCCTATGTATGTGTTACCACACATACACGTGAATTGATAAACACAGTGGGATGTGATGCAATCGTTTATATGTTGTTTTGGTTTGTGGTGTGACATGGACTTTATCTTCTCTACGATGATGACCTCGGCTGCATAATGTGTTTCACAATAAAGCTATGTGAATCACCTCTAAGTGGTAATGAGATGTAGACATTTGTCTTAGGAACAAAACGCTGTATACTTTCCAATGCAACATAACTTTTGCACCTGTTGATAAATTTCAGCGGGTAGCCATTCTGTAACAATGTTGTCGTCAGTAAATTGCTTTCTTTCTCCTTCGTGTCATCGGGGCAGATGCGGTTTGTCACACAATGTATTAATTGTTTTTACCAGTGGTATATTCTTAAATAAAGAATTCATATAGAAGGAGTACATAGCCTTATCCTTGATATCAATATCACTTAAACAGTCAACAGGGTCAGATGTGTCTTTTAATGGTCGACAATAGACAATATTGTCTGTGTGGATCTTCCACTCAGGACTTACATAAATAGCTTCTGACAGGACTCAAGAGCTTTGCCAACTATTTAGCTAAACTATATATGGGTGATCGGCAATAAATCGGAAATAAATATATCTATTCTTCCAGTACCCCCTTTTATGGAGCTACTGACTACAAGATTGCATCGTGTAAAAACCTATCATTGCTGAAGGGTAGTCAGTTATCTGGCGCGGTCGCACTTGATGCTTTTTCGAAGATTCCTGTACCCAACACACTAGCGTCTTTCTCGACTTCCAGCTTCATGTCTATTGTACTGCTTATGTTATTGATACGCTTAGTAACTTGATTCAAATGACTTCACTATGAAACGGTTAATATATGGATCTGTCATACAGTTGCAAAAGGCTATATATGATCAGATGACAATCTCAGTTTGCATGAAAGACAACGCAAAACTTGACGTAGTTGATTAGCGGAGACATTTCAGATTGTTGTGGTATTAAATGCAGTGTATATTATGTTGTAAGCTTGTTCTTACGATGCTGGTGGCTGCTCAGGATTTTCTGAACAATATCTCTGACAAATGTCAGAAACCGGTTGTGTAGTTAATGGATGAAATTGAGGGGACCAGTGTCAAGACCACCCTAGCATCCGAACAAACTACATTTCTCACCCCTACTATTTGTGTGGTATATGTGATTTTTAAAGTTGTTTTTCTCATATTTTGTTACAGAGTAGAACATTTAGAGATGCTAGATGACCTTGAAGTAACTACGCAGTTATTTGATCATTATTGTATTCTTCTGGCGACAAATGATGAGACGTTCTGCCCATGGAAACAATTAGAAGAAGCGGTGGCTACTATTGAATAGTCTTCTTCCTTCATTATAGATGTGATTCACTATGAAAATAGATATTCTACTGCAATTCCTATCTGTCGTTTTGATTTTGCCACCACTATCTACCTGTTCACAAACCTCATCGTACAAAGGCAATAGTTCCACTCATAAAAGTATTCTATTCATAATCACTTGATTGGTGAGCAGACCTTTAGAATAATTTTGACAGCTGACCGATGGTGTGTGATATTAGTTTATCTACCAACTACCATAATTTACTATAAGTCGACCACTTTTGGACGTTGTACATTTCCATGAATTTCCAGTAAATACACTATTCATTCTATATTGTACCTACGTAGAAGTTGTGTTCTGTCTGAGTGGATTAGTGGGGTTTTAGAATTGAATTCGAAAGTGGTAACTAGAATAAAAAATTCACCGAACAAATCTGTTTTTGGTCATATAAGGAGTTTCATCTACCTCTAAATCAAACTTGACGGGTTAACATAGGGAATCACTCAATTTCTTCTTCGTCAAAGAGTCTTCACTGTTTTTTTCCGAAGAGATACATACTCAATAGAATCAATTGAACTTGAGAGCCTGCAGAACATTGTTTCATGTTAGACTTCTTATAAGCCACAGAGTGTTAAGGTATTAGCTACTGGGTCTGAGGAAATTAAGGTTGTGTCGAAAAATCCATCCAGTAGATAATAATATATTGCTACTTTGCATATCGCATAAACAAATCTAACATAAAGTTGTAATTCCGCAACCAACTGCGAGACGGTATGGTAAGTATTCATAGCAAGGTGTATCTGTAGAAATGCTCATTCAACGCATTTAAAGCCAACTATGTTTGCGACATTAATAAAGTGCTTAGGGTATCGTGAAATGCACCCGGAGTTGAACCGATTCTTGGAGTGATTGACAAGTGATTTCTATTGCTACCATGGTTTTCAGAACTTTTTTCCGGCAATCTGAAAGGTGAATGGCATCCCAGTTCGCGTTTTTTTCTGCCCATCATCATTGTTTTTTTGAAAATATACATTGCACAGAACTTATTTAACCTTCTAATTTGGCACTTGCGTTTTTCTCTTTTTCATATAGTGGTTGTAATAATACTCAATAATGTATGCCTTAATTATGTACAATTATTAAGAAAAAATCTGAGCGAAGAAATATTTCTTTTCAATTAGATCCTTATCTACGGTGCTACACTAATATATGGTATTTTAAAATAGCATACCGGTCTAGTCGTGAAATGTTAAGTAGATACGGATTATCAATGTCAAAGTGTAGTGGGCACTCCTGATCAGAATGGATATAAGTATTATATGTTGAGAGGGTGGCAGAAATCATAGGGAATTATCAGCAAAGGGTAAAGATTCTGACCATAGAAACGCAAGAGATAATATGGACGCATTAAGAACAAACCAAGATAGAAGCAGAAGAGGAAATAAAGCACATTGTGCAAATGACTGTTTTAGTGGAAAATGTACAGTATTTGATGACTACAATAATCAACATTCCGTCCTGCATCTCAGTCTTCTCGTTCCCTGCAAAAGTATTAAATGGTGATAATTAATCAAAAAAATTATAACAAGAGTCAAATTATTCAGCAACCACAGTCGATTTGTGACCGGTAGTCTGTATAGTCGTTATTAATAAGTAGTCAGTTGTTGACGGTAATTGCTTACAATGTAGACAAATGGGGGAAGAAAAATAATAACTGGAAATGTAATAATAATTGTAATAGTTTATAAGATGAACAAGGTATGGGGTCATTGATATAAAAATGATTCACAATTCAGTACCTGTCTAGATATATCGATGCAACTTTTCTTATGTTTTGATAAGTCCTGTAAGATTTTATTTGCACTCTCAGTGGTTATCCACAGTAACATGTTTATTCTTGGTGCTACAGATTTTTCGGGTTCTGAATATTCGTCGTTTGCTTCAGTCGGTGAATTCTTAGAGCTATCAGACGGATATTTTGGAATACAGTTCGAATCGGCGAATCCTCTAACAAGTAAGCATTACGTTAGACCTGTAACTAAGGGGTAAGCTGTGGAACAAGATTTACAAGATCATTGCGTATTAAAAAACTTAAATACTGCCTCAATTCTACAACGTCATCAACCCATCAAGATGTTACTCTATAAGTTAGACAGAATAACATGACTAGTCAATAGTTGTCATCTTAGTCGGGTACAATTTTATGACATTGATTCCCTTGTAAAAGCTAAGGTCATTTGTTTAGTTTGTAAACTGTCCTCTCATTAGTTTCCTCTGTGTAGTTTATCCATATCACTTACAGAACTAAAAATAAATTTAAGAATCATATAAAATATATGCCTTTGACCTATTGCCAAGTAATACGACAAGTTCTTTTGACTAATTAACTGGTCTCTTACGTGTTTCAAAATTTTGAGGATTGGGATAACGGTATCTACTCCATACTACAAACATGCGTAATGAGGTTTATTTAATTCATCTTATAGTAGAAAAGAAACAGCTTGACTTAGATGAATGTAAACAGCAAGTACAGTATACACTATGCATGAATACTTCAATAGATTCAAACAACGAAAACATTAAGCTTAGGAGTTTAAAAAGTAAATGAAAATGAGATTATCGCTATTTTCTTTCAATATTCCAAACTGAATAACTGACTACTTGTAGTAGGTTGTTGTGATGCTGAGGTAAGAAATACAGAAAACCAGTTTAAAATTGTGCACAACGGTAAATGTCCATTAGAATATTCACTTTTTTCTTAATAGGACAAATAAAGCTGGACATAAATAATCCTAATCATAGTCATTGTCAATGATGAGCAATATTGACTGACGTTGGATACATCTGGACAGTGGTTGAGAAATTTTGAACGTAGGTCATGACTTCTCATTAGGACTTCGGGAATCACTTCTCGAAGTCACCAACGAGCGCTAGATTATTTCGGAACAGTTACTCAACGACGTCATTAAATGGAGGTTGCGCTTTGTTGTGGACTGGACTCCAACCCAGTGGTAACGTATGGAACCTTAGTTTCCTGGGTTCGACCCCTGGGGTGGGTGGAATCATGGGTGTGGACTACCGAGGAGGCCCATACTAGGGATAAACAGCTATCCAGTGCTCCCATGTTTCCAATGTTTCTCCAACCGATATGAGTACATGATGATGATGTAATCAGAAAATAAATCCCCATAAACCTCTAAATTTGGACGTAGGTCCTGTCCTTTTTCGATATTCATCTTCAACGAGACATGCTGTCTTAGACATCCGAAAGCATTTCTTCCTGCCTCTACACTAAGGAATGTGCAGTATATTCTTGACACTTATTTACTGATCTACTAACCCATTGCACTGACTGAGTAACACTTCTAGTGCCGACATTTACACTTTAATATCACTCCTTTTTCATTCACTTCTTTCTTGCATGCTGAGGGCAAGAACGTGAAATGATTCAATATCGTATTAGGCTCTACTTGTGTAAAATAACCTGAATTATTAAGTTGAGATACACTGTGTAACGTTTGATTCATTTTTCAGAACACTGGATACTGTTGAAGGTAAAGATTTGAACTCCAGAATACTTGACTTCACTAAAACAGTTTAGTGATCAGTTTGCAATTTAATGCTCAAATTGATGAAGTAAGCGAAGAAATCAATAGAATATTTCCTGAAAGACACCTGAAATTAAGATTCATTTTATAAATGATTTCTGATGCCAAGATATCAATAAATGATTAGTGACATCGAAGGGAAAGGCTGATAGCTAATCAGGACATCTGCGTGCTTACTTTCTATACTCGTGGATGTTTTCACTGTCGGGTCGTTGTATATTTTTTCCCCTTCCACTTATTTCCCTCCTTTTACCTATTTCGAATTGTTTTGATGTCTTTTTGATGTATAGTGTGTCAAATTGAACCAAAATCTAAGGTTTTACGCTGTCAGTTATTTTTGATGCACCATGAATTAAACTGAACATCAGTAATATGTTCTTTCCTAAGAGCAGAATTAAATCTTCGATCCACATTTGACCAAATCCCTTCAATTCCACTTAAGTATTTTCAGTAAACATCCTTTCACTTCTTGTTAAACCAATAAGGTCTTCCATTACAGAAAAATGATGAGGTGTACTTTGAATTCGATGATCACAAGTTAGTGACTGTCAGCAGACAGAGAGTTCAATGCAGAATCATTTTGTTCCATTTCTCAGCTGATTGATAGCCCAAGATATCATTGGTTAGCCTCAGGGATAAATTCTGCGTTGTTTTTGCCTATGAACTAAAGTTGGAAACTGATAATTTGGATAGTTATTTAAATGCATGTTAAACATACAAAGTTATTTGAAACAGAAAGATAAGTTATTAGATTTCTCATTTAATTTCCTTTCTTAGCATCTTTCTGTAAAAACGGTTGTTTATTTATTAGCCAAGGATCACTTTAAAGTTCATCTTGATAAGGATACTTTTATAAAGTTTTCTTGAAGGTATGTATCGCCTTTGGGTTATTATTTTATATTATTCAAAATGATGACAATCGATAAAAGTAATCAATTTATCTTCATAACATGCTCTAGAAGTCTCCGAACATCGTCTATGGATAACTTTTCTATTCAATGCTAAATTGTTGCACTTGCCTTACTTATGTTATCATCGTACTTAATTTAATCAACTATTTATTTGCAAACACTAATATGGAATATAGATGGAGTCAGTGGTCTGCAACACCTCTTACTTGTTCTGTTACCTGTGGTAGCGGAGTGAGATGTCGTGTTCGAAGTTGTATTGATGGATATGGTACTGTACAAGCAACCACAACAAGATGTCAGAGTACAGATATATATCACTCTCAAGCTAAAGAATGTATTCCATGTTTTGTTAATGTTCACTGTCCACGTATCCCGGGTTGGGGAATATGGGGTCCATGGTCATCATGTGTTCCGATCGAAGGTAATCAAGAAGTCGGGAGACAAGGATGTCGAACTGGAAGTAAAACCCGATACCGACTGTGTGATAGTCCTCCACCAGAACCACCACCACATGGCTTAAATTGTTCTGGTCCTAATCAACAAATTCTACAATGTAGTTATGATTGTGTTGACAGAACTGATAGTACTCCTGACAATATTGCTAATAAGATATCTTTTCAAGTTGAGAGAGATCAACTCTATTTACGTTCATTCAGAATATTCTACGAAAACATGTTAGTCAAAAAGTTCTAATGGACTGTGCAACACCAGCTTACAATCTTGCTAAAAGACTATCTCTGCGAGGCATCAATAAAACTGCCAGTAGAGCATTGAAAGGTAGATCTTTCTCAATAAGATGGCTAAAAAATGGCAAACCTATAAACTTAGCCAACCCTAGTTCAAACGTTCTATCTAAAGAGCTACTCAAAGCAAAAAACATTATCAACTATGAAAAAAGAATAGCTGATGAAGAAATCAGATGGAACCTATTGCTTGACACTTCTTCAATCTATATGGAAGATACACACCTGATTTTTCCAAGTATACAACAAGGTGATCAAGGTTTTTATACATGTCAAATGAAGGTTGGTAAAAATAAATGGAATATAATTTTCTATACATTGATTGTTACCGGAACAAAATATGTTGCCCTAGATGGTAATCCTTTTTATCTTCATTCAAATTTAGGCTATTCTAATTCATTAAATGATATGAGTGTATGGATGGAATCGGCTCAGATTGTTTGGCAGTTGAACGGTCATGAATACAGTCGTGGTTTAGCCATACGACTAAATCGACGTATTCAATTAATTTCTCATTTGAATTTAACACATCAAGGCACATGGAAATGCTTTCTATGCATTCCAGCTTATAGCCTACCAAGTCAAGTTGGTAATCCACGGTCATCAATCAGTAGAATATATTTAACTAATGAATTCCATTTAAAAATTAACCCAACACAAAATATTTTATGGCAAATCAGTGAATATCCCCCAACGGTTAGAACACTGAGACAAACAGCTCTTACTGTATCATTAATCGGTTTATTTTTAGTACTAACTATATTTCTTAGTATATGGGCTGCACGACGTTGGACAACACGAGCCTTAACAATTGATCAACAGAAAGCTATTATCCAAGAAATTGTCGACAATGAATGTAGACTACTGTTAACGTGTAAAAAACGTGCAACTATTAATAAAAACAAATTATTACCATTGATCTTACAAGAAAGTCAACGTTTACAGAAAACAAGTAAATTTCTAGGTGTATTACGTAGACGAAGGACATCAAGATTGGGTAGTCGAAGAGTGATGCGTAAAGCTACGCGTAAAATGAGTTTTCCTCCGAAGTCAAGACCTAGTGCACATGCTTCGAAGTTTATACCATTCGGTTGTAACTCAAATTCTTTGAAAATTTTACCGTTATCAACACCCACAACTTTAACATCACCGAAAAAATCTCATGTAAAGTTTGAAAAGAATGAAAATGTATAAAATTGGTAAACTAGATAATCATGATGTCAATTAACTTGAAGAAGATATTTGAACACAACTATAGATACTTTCCTATAACGCTTAGAAGGCTATTGGATGATTACCTGAACAAGTTACGGTTTGAGTCACTGAGTTTCGCTTTATCCAGCCTCTTCAGTAGCATACTATTCAACTGTCAGATTTTTGATACAATTTTTTTGCTTCTTGTTTGCCTACAGTAATGTGAATAGGGATCCCAGGCAGCAGAATGTGATTTCAATCAATGTAAAAGACATTAATCCGTAAATCATCTGCAAGTGATTCAAACTTTGCAGACAATATTCTTCTCGAAAGTATAAGAATCTTATCTCTTTTACTAGTAGTAACAGTCAACAATCAAAAAACAAATGACTGCTCTTCTTACTGATATTGATGAGACGAAATTAAAATTAAGAGACAAGATGAAAGAGACTTTAGTTAACACGGACTAGTTGTAAAAAGTTTTAACAGTTTTCTTTTTTTCCACTCTTCCTTTTCATTGTTTATTCATATTATTATTTAACATGTTTGAGATCAAGAAAGTGAAAAAAATATTGCAAGATATGAGAAAAGAAAAGCTGAAATTGTTCAAAGTTCAACATTAAACGCTCAGCTGTATCAGCATTCTGATTAGAAGTGTGAATAATCTGTGCAAGTAATCAAGTATGTCATCATCGGAAAATTAGTGGAATGTGTTTCTCTTCACTTCTTGGTGTTTAAGATCTTATTTATCTTTTCAAACCGATAAATCAAAAGATGTTAAGAAAAAAACACTCTAACCTCTCTGTAAAAATAAACACGTAAGCTTAACAAACTGCTTAAGGGTTACTTAATTCTAGTAGTGTAGAAGAAACTTTTTATCTTATCGCTAAAAACCAAACCAACTGCAATCCTCCAAAATGTATTTATGTGATTGTATATAATAATCAGACTGTTGATGTAACAACTGTTACAAAATGCTTTCATCTCTAATACTAATTTACTTGGTTTTCGCTAGCAGAGTAGTCCAGGATTTGTCTCGTCCTATTTGGGACTCATCAGCTGGATGTACCTGCACCACAGTAAGTGATGCTGCTTCCACTGATACTCGGAACCCGTACCCATTGCTTCAAATGCCAAAGCGTTATCCGCTGGGGTACGACAGATACCTCTTGTACAACGTCCATTAGTTATTACTCTTTGTTGATATGCTTGTAATTCTCCGTTGTTATACTGGATCTAATTGTTCGACCTCTGTTGGCATATGGGCTCCTATGCGGATGTCTTAATATTGCCTGAATATTTATGATGGTAATTTACTTGGTAGTGGCTAGTGGAGGAATCCAGGACTCGCGTTTCAAAAAAGCACAAAGATGTCACCACATCGGTCACGTCATTGTCTAAAGTTGTAATCTGGAAATATTTGACCTTCATTTCATAAATAGCTTTTAGTTTGTAGATTCCTCTGCTAGTCACAACTAAGTAAATTACCACAATAAATACTCAGGCAATATTGAAGCATCCGCAAAAGAGCCCATTTGTCAACAGAGGTCGAACAATCCGATCCAGTATAACAACAGAGAAACAGAAGTATATCAACAAATAGTTATCATATTCATACTTAGAAAAACTGTTGGCTTGAAAGATGAACACCCTTTAAATAGTCTTCTGGTAACAAGACAAAAGCTTAATAAAGTTTTCTTTGGTGCTAATGTCTCTAAATAATTTGGTGAAAAAAATGCAATCAGTATATGATTGGAATGTCATTGACTTGCCGACTAAAATAAATACCATTTCTATGCTCTCTTCTATTCATTTGTTTGTTGAGAAAGTTTCTATGTAGCATTAAAAGTAGTTGCTTCACTGGTGAGAATGTTAAAGTACTGGCTTTGTCATATATATATATATATATATATATATATATATATATATATATATATATATATATATATATATATATATATATATATATATAAGGTAGTATTCACCAAGGATTGATATCAGTTGGGGAACCATTGGAAACCTGAAAGTACTGAACAGCTGTTTTATCCTGATGTGGGACTCCCCAGCAGTATATACCGGCTATCAAAAACAATGATGGGAGCAGGGTTAAAAACGGATTCATTTTATTTCAATGGTATCTTGTCAGCTGCGTACGAAAGTTTAAAAAAACTTTAATTCGTTGATTAAGACGGACAGAAATAGTCAGAAAATAAGCTTAGCTCACGATATTTTGTATGTTTCGAGGAGTAACTTATTGATCGTATAACCTACTTACGTAATCAGCCTTCCTACTTGATCTCTTTTCATTTTCTCACCCCTTATCTTTATGGATTTTCATATAAATACGTGTGACAAGTACTTGTGTGATCAGATTGTTCGAAATGTGTTGCGCAAATACATTACACGGTCCAGACAATTTACGTCTTCTTACTGTTCTTCCAAAGTTTATAAAGGGAACTAATTGTTTTCAGTAATCATACAGTATTGAGTCCCTGAATATTTGGATTGCTGCTCTTGTCGTTATTTTTATCCGAAAATCTTTCCCTGGATTATGTCTACCAATGTAACAGCAATTTGTTATCATCTATTACCATCTTTGAATCTTCCATCATGACTGACCTTACTCTGTGGCTATTTCTGTCCGTCTTAACAAGTGACCGATATTTTTTTTGGTGAATTGAAGTATGTTAAATTCTCGGAAAAACCATAGATTTTGATATTTTCTGTTGTTAGCAGTTGACATGATACCGCCAAAGTGAAATGGATCCGTTTTATCCTACTCCTATTATTGTTCTTGGTTGTTTCAAATTCGGAAACAATTCTCACCTTCTTAGACTTCTTACGCTTGTGATTAATTTTAGTTTATTTTTTGAATATATATATATATATATATATATATATATATATATATATATATATATATATATATATATATGAGGACAGTCACTCAACGACAACATTGGATGTAGGTCGCACCACATTACCATTACCAACCTACACAGTTTCTATGCCACAAAACATATAAACGGTTAAGTGTGACCTGTGTAAGATATCAGTTGTTACTAGTCTATAAGTGCTTCATGCTTGCGACTTTTCTTTATATAAAGAAATAATCTGTTTCTTTGTCTTTGAAAGTCATCTCTAACTGATGAGTTGTTTAATGAACAATTTTTTAAAGTGTCTTAAATATATACTGCCACCTTAGTTTCAAACTAAGTCCCAAGAATTTTACATCTTTTGCAGTCACTATAACTTATTAGATACTTATGTTTTGATAACTGAAGAAATCATTCAAAATGACATCTTAGCCACCAAATAATGATGGGATAATTCCACCCACAATCTGTGAAGAGCTTGAAGGACTAGACAGGTATATCGGTGACTAATTCATGGACACGCTTTTTATTTCAAATTTGCCGCTGATAGTTTTAAAAGTAGACCAGACAATAACAACGGTAGGGAAATAGTGAGCTTATTCTCACTGACTTTAGATCAAGTAGCTCACAAAAAAGTGCCTGGAGTCAAGATATATTACCTGCAGTCTTTAAACATTGATTCCAAATACCTCAAAAATAGACCGAAACAACTTATTGCCCGACATAGTAGTATGCTATTTCGAAATGCCAATACAATACCAAGAAATAAAATCAGCAAGGAGGACTAGCAAACGAAAAAATAAGCTTTAAAGGAATACTTAAGATGAAAGTGAATGTAGTATAATGCCTAAAATCTTTTACTTTTCACACCATATGAACTAAAGCGAGAAAGGTAAAAGCTACCGCGATGTTCACTCAAAGCAAATAAGCAGAATTTTCTGGACATTTTTCTGGTATTATATACCTATGTGTATGCATACACGCATTCCCTTTAAAGTTATTATTCTCCTTCATGTCTATCAGTATAGTATTACAAATTTTCTTCAAAATCCAGTTCATTCTGTTTTGAAGCATTACGTTCACCAAGTTCACTGAATTCTCTAGCCATCCAGTCAGGTAGTTTTACTCCACTCTGTAAGGATGGTCGATAGGCAGATGAACTAGCTATAAACTGTGAAGATATTTCTTCTTCCGTCATTCGTCGTCCAAGTGTTATTCTAGCCCCTTCAACGATATCTCTATCCAATGGTGTAATACATGCTCTAGGTTTGTTAATACCAAATGCATCATGAGTTTGAATAACTCCTTCATCAGCAGCTTCTCTTTCTCCATCTTCTTCATTGTCTTTTGGCTTCATGCCTTCAGTCACTTCTTTAGCTCTTTGTACTAGCCAATAAGCAACTATTTCCGCTTGTACTGCCTTACTATCTATAAGTGTATCGATTAATTGTACTGGTACATACGGTACATGTCGTGGTGGGAATAATCGCTTTTTATGCAATGTTTCGTGTGCTATAATCATACGCCACATCAATTCTGGTTGTAATGGCCAAGTATCTGTTGAACTGCCACTGTCTAATACATGTGTAGGTATCGAATTCGATTCTTCATTTTTATCAGTACTGAATGAAACAAGCCGAAGTCGATTTAATGTCCCATCATTTTCGGAGAAAAATTCATAGTTACATAGACCACAATGTCGCCAATCTTTTCCTGTATGCGAAACCATCATATGAATCTGAAAAGATAGTGAACACAGACATTACTGTCTCAGTGACCATACATTTTTAGTCAAAAGAATAATTAGTGTACTACATAACTTTGTTGAAAAAAACGCAGAGATGTTACGGCATCGATAAGGTCATCGTCTAAAGCTGCAATCTGGAAATATTTGACAGTTATTTCATAAACAGCTGTTAGTTTATGGATGCGTGTTAAGTTCTATTTCTGTCAGTAGAATACAGTCAGCAGAAGAAATTCACCAGTTGGGTCTCTTTTTACAATGACGGTCTAAGTAATTAATTAGCTGTGGCTTTTGAAGTGATCGATTCTAGGTTCAAGACTTAGTAGGAACAACATCACACCGGGATGCAGATGCATCCAGCTGACGAGTCCCAGAAATGGGACTTTTGGTTGGGTAACAGATATTTTTGGTATTCCTTACCCTTCTTTTCTCATTGATCCAATATTTTTAGGTCTATTGTCGGTAAAATTGCTAGACCGATTGCTGTTCTAGGTTTCAAACAAGTATCTATAATTAGGTAAAGACATTTCATGCATTTATTTCGTGTGATCATTATTAGGTAGTGTTTAGTTTGTGTTAAATCATCAAACCATCATTGAGTACCGACCTTTGCATCAGTTCAGTATAGGAAAGTATTTTATCTTTCTAGATCTTTAGTAGATTCACTCCTACAACTCCATTCTTTTGAATTCTTTCTTAACTCAGAAATGACTGAGAAATTTATCAAAACCAAACAATATTTGTAGTGATTCCCGAAATCTAAGTGTGAACGTATTCTGAGCCTTTTCTCTATTATCATCTGCGTTTAACATCACTGATATCTACCCTTAAGTATGAGAAGTATTGAGATGTATCTCTCAGACGAATAAATCATTTGGATTTGCAGGTTGATAGCTTTCGATTAAATCTGCAGAATACAGCATCAGTTGTCACTGATGAGGCATTCTTCCTGAAATTGAGTTTTATTCTTGATATCCTTTGATGTAAATAAATGACTCCTGGTCAGTGTCCATGATATGTCCTGGAAATCCATTCTATTTACAAGTAATCTAACTAAAGTACATTTAGAATTTCATGGCCGTCGGTTAGATAGACGGGCTAAACAGCTCCCAGTGGTATAAAAGAGACATAAGCAATGTTTTTACTACGATTTAGAACACTTTTACCCTACTTGAATTCATATATGTGTAAGGCCATTCAAGGTGGTGTAAACCTGTTCAAAAAGTAGACCTGTTTGACAAACGCTTACTGTCAAAGTGACGCTCAGTTTGAACGCACAAGAAGTAAGTCTCATCAATGTCACCCAGAGCCTTCAGCTACATACTTTCACTACTTGCTGCTTGGTGTTTCCAATAAACTTCCTTTCCCACTGCTTGGACACGCATTAAAACTTTTCTTATCATGGTTATTTTTGGTGTTGATATGCCCTTTGAAGTCATTACTAACTGTCATTGTTTGAATGGGAATCTATTTCGCCTTAACAGCCATTTATAAATATCTTTGATTAGTTTAAACTACCTTTACAACCAGTCTCTTTCTTAGTCAATCAGATATTGTCGGTCCATTCACAAAAAATCAAACGTTTACCCAGACAGAAGTAAATTTACGTCAACGTGTTTTCCAGCCATTTTTTCCGACTGACTTCCAAAGTACCACGACCCAGTGGTATCATCAGAGCAAGATTTCGAAGGATTTGTTAAACTTGTAATCTTTGGAAGGTTTGATTCAGCCAAGAAACAAGACATAACCTCTATAACATTACTCGGTACATTCCAGTCCCTCACAAGGAACAAAAGATTTCACTCATATCGACATATAAACAACAATACAGACTTACTAATGCCATATATCTACACCCTGTTTATTTTCACCAATCCCACGCAAATATTAAAATCTACTTCCCCTTTTTTGTCATAAATCGGAAGTCAGACTTTTGAAACTTATCAGTGCTCAAGAAAACACTTATTTAATGTCCATATTTATGACCATTAGTCGCATAATCAGCTATTTCATCTTTTAGAAGTTCATTCAATATTTCTAGCTATTCTGAAAGCTTCTGCCTTACTTGAAAATGGAGTGAGATGTTTTATTCAGCTTCTGAAACATCCACCACTGGTTGTACTGTTTACTGGCCTGCATTTTAAACTTATCTCTACATTAATCATTAGGAAGTTTTAGCATAGATCCTTCAAAGTAAGGTTACAAAATATTCCTGTCACCCATTAACAGTACCGTTATCAATGACAGGATACCATATCAAACGTTACGAGCATCATATATAAGAGAAAATTAGTGTTTTCATGTATGTGGCATCACATGTGATCATAGTTAGGAAGTAGGCTCTACTGATCAAGCTAAATTTCTGTAGCCATTTTACGATAACTAAAGAATGGAAAATAAAATCGTCTAAGCCGTTCATACTTAAAATAAAGAGCAAAAATTAAAATCACTTACTGAGTATCTACCCAACATGTCACCTGTTAATGGTAGAAAAAGCTTAAAATATCAGTATTTTCTGAAGTTTTCAATAGCTAATGCCATCAAATACCAATTAAAAAATGTATATTGTTGTATACTTCCACTTCTTATGGTACTAACATACATTTAAAATCACACTGAATTTATCACGTAACATTTCAGTAACTGAAGCATTTAAAAACTTCTTTAGAAGTGATAACAAAGAACTTTACATATAAAAAGTCGTTTCAGTTTACTCGGGTTTGCGATAACAAAAAGAGAATATCAACAGAGATTTTTAAAAATGTTAGATACAAGTAAACTTTAGTGACGGTCAGTCACTTCCAAGTAAACACTGGCTAATCGGAATCAAGAATATGAAGGGCAACGTAATCATCAAGGAAAACTGCGCTGTATTTACAATTTGTAATTCCGTTTTACGTAAGAAATAAGGGCATGTAGATTTTAAATAGTTTTTTTTTTCATTTTTGAAACCACATTATTGTCTGCATTGCCACCAATCCATATGATATAATATCGCTTAAGTGATATCGGGCAAATTTCACCTAGTGTTTTCATTAAACGTTTTAAGAAGTTTCTAAGATGACTCCATATATTTTCAGGATTGCTTGTTTGCACTTCAGTTATCCTATCAACGAAGTGCTCCTTTATAAACAATGGCTTGATATGGGTTACCCATTTCAGATAGAGGTATATATGACTTCTAAGCATCTGTGTACAGTGTGATACCCAATGCCACATCTTACACAAAACTACTAGGATGGATTTTTTTTATCTATCCTTTATCCATTAAAAATGTCCTTTCTTCGTATTTTGGTTGTATATATCAGGAATCTTTGGTTTGCCAAGACAAATGTATGTATGTAAGTTATAACACAGTTAGTCTTGTTTAATTCGCCTTTCTAGGTTATATTTATGTTTCTGAACAAAACGTCCATCTATTTCAACTCTACTACCTATTCCACCAAATTTCACACACAACCTCCAGTTCATTCTTAGACATAATTCATAGGTGTATGCAGAGTTAACAGCGCGGTAAATGGACATAATGAATGTCTTAAGTGAGCCATCTCCAACCTGATTGGTTGTCTTCTAGGTTTCTCATCTCTAAAGTCTAACTATACCAAATATTAAAATAAAAGAATACATAGGAAATAATTAAAGAAATCGATGAACAAGACGTTTAAAAATTTTAGAGGGATAAAACATTTTGATGTGACTGTTCTTCTGTGGTCAGTTCTAAGTCATCTGCGGTTTGTAACAATTCATCACTAACACCAAACAAGCACACTTACTGACAACTAAAATTAGTATGCAATGATTTGACGGTCATATATAAATTTCTAGAAAAATTAAAATGAGCCGTAGGTCAGTAGTTTAATTTTGATATTGAGGTTTGTAAATGAGAACCATTTTCAAAAATCCCAGTCGACCAACTGTTATTAATATGCATTACTGAACAGCAATTCAGTTCGTCACTTATTACATAAGAACATAAAGATACAGTGCAACAAGACAAAACGAAAAAAGAATGTAAAATATAGTAGTCGTGGAAATCCGTCAAACAAAAAGCAAAAGGAGTAAAGTAATCAATAGAAACTGACATAACAGTGAAGATGAAAATAGATTTGCCCGACTGTAATTGTTTCAACAGTCACAGATGAATACTTCCATTCGGATAATAAAGATCTTTAGTTTTCCTCAGAGAATGTGTAAGACATTATAACATGTTAAAAGGAATGTTTCCGAGTTTGCATTCACTTCCTGGTGCTGAATTAATTTGATGAGATGACTTAGGTACCTTATTGGATATCTTCATGTTATTGTATGGAAATATTAGCCTGGTAATTATATTCAAGCATGCATATATATATATATATATATATATATATATATATATATATATATATATATATAATGCATTACGGCAGTTCACAGGCGACCACGGGTATAAGTTCTAAAATTATTGAAATATATACGAATGGAAGTTGATGATTTTTCATATTTCAAACCTTGAGAATGTCAGCGTGAACCTGAGTGAGTCAGCCGTGACATCCAACTAAAGACTCAGACGCCGAATTTTTGAAAAGCATGAGAAGTATATCGATACAACAAAATTTCAAGAATGTTGATTTTTGAATTGCAACAACAAACTGGTTACATAACTTGAAGATCCTACCTTCAATCCCTAAATCGACCATGAGTTAGGACTGCTGTAAAGTTGCGAATTAGAATAGAATAACTGTCCTTTGTCCAGGGGTTTCCATTGCTTCCTTGATGAATACCTTAGCATAGCAACAACCTTCAAATAACAGGTAAGAGATCTCAACCAAACAAACAGAGTCAAGACTGGATCTCACTTTCCTGATAGATGATAGTAGGTAGTGCATATGGCTAGTAAAATGGATTATCTAATGTAATAAAAATAAATGTTTGTGCTAAGAGTGACCTTAAAGGCCACCCTAGCAACTGCTGAGATAACCTATCCTGTCTGTTTAGTTAAAAAATAACTACCCTTCCAATCAAAATACGGAAAGGTGATTGGTTATTTCAGCATTGCTAGCTTGGCCTTTAAATTTGCCGTGAGCTAACGCCATTTTAAACTAAATGTAATTGATAAGCACGAGAGAGAATTTTTGTGATCCGGCCACTAAGGTCTTTCATATCAGAATTTCCTTTTCACTCAACTCACTGAAGAAACCAAACACTAAACACATGTTGCAGTGACCGTATTGACGTTATTGGCAAAATGCCCTATCATATCTAGTAGCTATTTATCAGAAATGACGTTCATTCGTTTGTTCACTTCTAATGTTTACCTGGAAAGCTATCTGTCTTAAAAACCACGCATAAGTATTTAGTCACTTGGAATGGTTTTTTCTCCACGATTCATATTTATTATGTTAGCATAGACAACATCAGGTGGTCATATCTCGTTATAATCAGTCTATACATGTTGGACTGGAATGAAATATGACATGTTAGCACAGAACAAATTCAACGTAAAAAAGAAATATGAAAATTCACCTGCAGTGAGAATTCATTACTGTATGTTATGTAACACTCTGTGCATAACAGACTAACATCCAACATTCCACAAAGTTTATTCTTTTCAGCTAGATGTTTAAGTCTTTTTTTACTTTCAGGTAAGTGGAATGAATTCACATGATTACTGAATTTGTAATCATCTGGAAATAATTCCAAACATATTCTACACTGTTCACGATAGCCGTCCAATCTAAATTTCATACCTTTACGTCCTACATCCTTCAAAGAACTAGATGTAGTTCTTGCCATTCGGATCCCTCTATTCGTAGAAAATGATGAAGTTTTCATAATTTGACTTTTTTGACCTCTAGTTGTTGTTGTGGGTGTTGATGGTGACTGAGGTTCGTTATTATGAGTTTTATTACCGTTATAATAATAACTTGTATTTTGTCTTTTCAATAATTCTGAAACTGTAGGACCTGGTACATGTAGACTACGATTCTGTGCTCTTCTCACCTCCTCAACAGGATCTTTATGATTCGTGTTATCAAAGCCATTGACTAATGTAGACGCCGCATGATAACAACACAAATGTGTAGTATATTCAGCCAAACAATTAAAATTTCTCAAGCATATTTTATGATTCCATGATGAATTTAGTTGATTTCTTTGTGTTGTATTGACTGTAGTATCATTCCTGGTCAAAGTATGATCACTTTTACCTTTCAAAAGTGTTAACTGATGTCTTTCAAGTTTCGATGAGTCATAAAAACAAGTAAATGGTACTGATACATCAACAATATTATTTTTAACATTGCGTAATAATTTGTAAATCCCTTTACGTGTTAGTATAAATAGAACAGGAGCATGACAGTCAAAAGCATGTACTTCTTGTATCATTAAATTTTCTGAGATGAACTGTGCATGACAAAATACACATTTATATGGATCTCTATTAACTGAATGAGCTACAATAATATGAATAACTAAATGTACTCTAGATGAAAATATACGTCCACGACAGAGAATACAAACTAATGGACTACCATTTTTATCTATAAATCTACGTCTTGCTTTAATATCAGCCATTTGTTTGATATAACATCTATGCTTCATTAATACTGTACAATTAATTCTATTTCGGCAGCTACGACAATCATACATTGGTAAATTCAATTTTGGTTCTAATTCACCTAGAATATGCTTATGATAAGTAAGATGTGCATGTAAACCAGATAAAGATTTAAAATCAACACCGCATAAAATGCATACACGTGGATTTTGTATTAAAATCTCTGGATTAATTGCAGGTCCATGAACAGGTCCAAGTATATAATCTAAATTGGCAAGTGGATGCAATGAAGCATCTTCAATGATACGCTTTTTTATTTTTATTGGAATTAAATGACTGAGAGATTCCATTATTTGTGGATTTGGAATTTGTTGGGATTTTATTAAGGTAGATGTTTGCTCAAGAGAATATGCAGTTTGTTCATCAGTTGGCATTATTTGATTAATATTGTTTTAAAAGTTGCAGAAGTATTAACTGATTGCTCCCTTTTCATGATTATTAATGAGAACTTTAAGTCAGACAATCTCACCTAATTGAATCTTTTCACCACAATATTGTCGTTAACACGTGACTTTGTGTGTTTATTGATCAGACTGACTTGAAACTAGGCATGACGGCTTAATGATAATTATTAATCCAGACAAAAATACACGACTCATCGAATTTAATGCCTACTGGTTGAATGTAAATGGATTCATATTCAGGCTGAAGTACACTATCTGTTTATTTTGACTTCAAAAAGTGTTCCATTGAGTAACTTACTAATATCCCTCAGAGTTTCATTTATTCTACCAATTCACATCTAAGTGTCAACTCTTTATTATTTTAATAAATATACAGTATGAACTTGAGCAGGTGTGTAAGTTCAGCTGATGGAGAATATTTGTAGCTCAAGAAGATTATTTTAATGGGGTTATGTCCTTTAAGCTGGATTGTTTAGTCGTGGAGCTCTCATTGTCATTCTAGACAAAATCAACAGCACAAACTTGAGAAAGAAGTGACCAATAAGGTTTTCTGCGCAATCAATTTAGTAGCTTTTCCTGATGGCCTTGTGTGTGATTGCTTGCTTCTGTCAAAGTCTTATCATTGTCCTGATATTTATTTCGATTGGTTGTCTTGTTGATGTGAACTTTGACTTTCTTGTTGTTTCTTAATGGCTGGTAGATTGAGTCAGTGTTAATATATCTATTGATCACTGACTGACTTGTATATAACAGGCTTCCAAAACTTCTCTGGCATTCTTTGTATTTCCCCTATCCAGAGTTTCACGTTTTCCCAGCCAAACTCATGCCCACAGTTGTCGGTATTTATTGATATGAGAGAAGATATGTCATGACACTTCACTGCCAGTGGTTCATGTAGACAGATGCGAAGAGGGCGACCACTTTGTCCGATCTAGTGTTTTCGCAGTTTCTGTGGTTTGTTTTGTAAACAATGTTTGGTTTGCCTTCCCTTGCTGTTGTACCTTTTGGCCCGCATAACAGAAACTGAAGAGATTTTGTGGGTTTGTGAGATACAGCGATTCCAAGAGACTTTAATAATCTAGTCGTGATCTCAGAGACGTTCTTCATGTTGAATAGGACAAGCCGTTTGCTAGTTTTCTAGGTTGACTTCTTGGTTGATGATGAATTATGACAACATATTTTGATGAAGTTGCGTGGATAGCCATTCTTCTAGAAAACACTCAGTTTTCTTCTTTTCTCCTCAGGATTGATGTGTAAGTTACCATATATGATTTGTTATTGCTGGAACAAATCTTTAACCATTTTCCAAAGTACTACTGATTTTGTACGTGTTACTTTCAAAGTATTCATTTGTGCTTAGAAAATCAAGAAAATCTCCATCATCCTGCTGGGCTATACAATGATAGTGTATGAGCCTAAAACAAATTCCACGTTATTACAAGATTTTTACAATATTCATACACAATGTAAGTTCAGTTTTCGTATTACTGAGAAAAAATTCAGTTATTCACTAGGTGTCAGTTAACATACAGTTTAGGAAAAATGAATTATCTGTACAGTTGCTTGTTGTTTATGTGACTAGTTCAATAAAACTATCAATAATATTAGTTGCTTAGACATACAGCCTACTAATTTGGGATCTTCAAGATCTTAGGAGTTAAAGGTTGCACGTTGTATAATGTGAATGCAATGACACGGTACATGAACTGATTTGCTCATGGAAGACGCTTTAATCGACTTAAACTATGCAGACGACACAGTCCTGCTAAATGAAGTTGACAAGATGAAGAATCTTATAGATGCATCAAGTGGTAATTTGAAAATGTATGCGACGCGTTTATCATCTCCAAAATATAAAATTTTTGTTTCAGAAATTATCTGTACTAACACTTTATCTGACAGCAAAAAATGAATCGACTGGATGTGTTGACCCCTTCAGTTACCCAGAAAGATGGATCAGTCCTTTTAAGTTTGCTACTGAAGAAATCCAAGGATGAATGCAATGAGCTCAATTGGTTTTTTCAAGTTGCATAACTCACAGGGTCGGCGAGGCATGAGAATACCTTTTGATGATCAAGTGAACCATGAATTAGCTTACTGTCTTGTTGCATGGGCCTGAAACATATTCACTCACTGTTGAGTACATGAAAAGACTCAAGGTGTTTGATCGATGTTGTATTCCTAACGCCAGCCAGTTGTTGTGGCACCAACAATTAAGCAGTGTAGAAGTTAAGCATAAAGCCAAATAAGTCCCAGTAACTTTCCAGGCTGCGTTCCGTGTAACATCCAAAAGTGATGGGTGAGAACTTTATATAATATAGCTTGTAACCGACTGTAGTGGAGCAGATGTATCCACAACTCATCGTCATCCTGACCTACGTATCACATTTCATTGTTTGTTTTAATCCTTCTTCTTTTTGTCTTATGGGTTTCTGCGACTTATATTACATTAACTTGCTTTTTTTAGTCCTTTATCCTGTCTTTTTGTATTTTAGTGTATTGATATGATATTTGGCAAGTTCAGCCGTAGTACAGTAATTTCAGCTGATAGGTTCATATGAAATGGCTCACTGAACGATTGACTCACTTTAGATTCCTCCGAAGCTCAAATATCACATTACAATTCGTCTATTTCTCCTCTTCCACTATCAGTATACATATATAGTTGAATGTATTCCTACTCATGGTGACTTCCTTTCTGCTTGCTATCATTCAAACCTTTTAATCCAATATAATTCATTTTTATTTTAAATATCACTCGGTTGCCTGACATTTTGTTTGTCGACCTTATTTAGCAGACTCCTAACATTTGAACAACCTCATATTTGGCGATAAAAAAGGAAGTTATAGTGCACTTTATTTCTTATAAATTCTACCAAAAGAGAAATGAGAAAATATCAAACTGTGAAAGAAGCTAACCTTTATATAAGGTTATCCGACAATGCACCAAGAATGATCTCATTGAAGTATATTACCATTATCCACGCTCGGAATATGGTCTCTTACCTATATATAGTGCTTTAGTAGTTTCAGAGAATAAGTCCGCTCACCGTTATCTTCAATTGATAATTAAACCCTCTGTTTTCCTAGGTTCTATAGAAGCAACCATAAATTCACGCTCAGAAAATTCCCAGAAGTCTGAACACTTGAAACATTATCCACCCTAAAGTTAGATAGGCATGAATGAAGAACAAAATTGCATTCAGTAGTTCTCAATACTCAACTGATATAAAAGAAGAATTTAACTTACTTAAAGCTCTTGCTCTTCAGCCGAGAAGTGGTAACCAAGGAGTATGGACAGATGTTGCACCCTCTTTGTATACTTTCTAGGATGTAATTCTACAACTGAACGTACGCCTATGAGATATTTGTTGATTACATCGCTAGTAAAACGGTAAGCTGGGACTTATAATTCATTTCTCTTCTTGTTGATTCTAGTTGAGAAACACTATATCCTGCTGTAAATATGTTGGCGGATCCAGACTCCTAAAATTACACAAAACACAATGAGAGGACGGTTGAACCTCCTTTGCTTCTGCAGCGTTCCCCTAGGAATTACAAGACCAAACATTGAAAGAAAGCTCTAATTTTTCAAAAACAAACTCTGGAGTTATACGTAAAACCTCAAAGTGAAAAGAGATTTATTTAAAATAGGATACTACATAAATGAATAACCATAATTAGTAAGATTACTAACGTTTAATCGTTAGGTATTTAAATGTTTTTCACGCTTTCAAAGGCACTATTAAAGTTCATCAACAAACAAAACCAACGGTAATAGATTGTATAAAATTTAAGATATGGTCGATAATGAAAGATGAGAGCAAGCCCATGGTAAGTAGGATGAAAAAAGCAAATAAAGATTCGAGGAACAGGATGATAGATGGGATATAAGCTGAATAGGGCAAAATGTGGCAATGAAGTCCAAAAACCAACTAACTAGCTGAATACAAATATACTGTATCGAAACCACATGCGTATTGGGTACATAATTCAATGAAATGATGTATATATGATACTGCTACTCATTAGTAGCAAACCGATTCCTTCCATAGTGGACAAACTCTTCATGGATTTAGTATTAAGTTGACTGCATAAAGGTAAGAAAGTGGCTACAGGACAGAAGGGAATGACGTGAAGTGAAAACAAAGTAAACAACTTCTCAGCACTTTTTTTGTGTATTTTTAATCTTTTCCAAACAGGGGAGGGAGTGAAGAAAAATGTCGGATGTAAACAGAAAGATAAAAGAGATGCCAAATGACTGTCCAATGGACAGTGACTGAATGAGAAGCTATAAATTGTTTAGGCTCGTGTTATTTCAAAGGTTGTGCAAACACACACAGGGATTTTCATCAGCCTGTTTGGCAATCCAATCTAGTATGATATTGACTGGGTAAACCACTAACTATACTCCATATAACGCTGTTGAGTGAGAATCCAAATATCTATATGGATTATGAGGACTAACTTCTTAAAACCGCCAATTTAAATTGTTCTCCACTCCGCTATTCATTCTCAGCAAAGTCGTCATATGGGTTTTGTGGTATAACAATGATCGAATTCTTAATTCCCTTTCAACCCAAAGGTTTGAGAGACAGTTATTCAATTCCATCAGTGAGAAGCTGTCACACTACCATCCAATAGCGTCATGTTCAACGAGTTTTGAAATATTTCAACTTTGTCTTGAACTACTTATAAGTAGTTCAACTAAATGAAGAAAAGTTTGTTAACCATTTCCTCGAATTCGTGATTCTCTCTCCATGGTATAATTTCGAATGGTGTACAATATCCGGTTACTTGCAATGGTCATTAGTGAACAAATATATGCAGAGAACAAGTCCTCGTTTGAAAATTATTTACGGCGACAGATGCAAGTTTCCGCACCGCTTACCCTGAGAAAGACGAAACCAGTTGGTTGGCAGCAACACTAATATAGAGTGGCTATACTTTGAAATTTATCAATAATTGTAATACTTGTGTAGTATTCAAGTCTATTCATTCAGACAGACAGAACCAACCCATTCAATGCTTAGTTCCTAAGGCAAATGTCTACACCTGACTGCCATTTAGAAGTGATTCACGTGGACTTATTATAGAAGAGGCCTATATTAGCCA